CCAGGGTTCTCCCATAACAAATTAAGCCTCTTGCTGGGTCAGGGGCTGTGCTGTGCAGGCAAGGGTGACAGAGCCAACAAGGTGCCCGCTACAACCTCTGCCCCCAATCTCACTCCTTCCTGATGTCACCCAGGGCTCCAGCAGCCTGAGAAAGGCCCCACGTGGGTCATCTCCCACAGGCCTTCACCATGCACTCTGGAGGACCAAGCGCACAGCTAACCTTTGGGTTCAGATGTGCCTGTGGCGGGGAGGGAGGGAGACTGGGAGGCTCTGATGGGGAGGGGCTTGCATTAAATCAGAAAGGTGGAGGGTGGCGGAGGGAGTGTGGCCGCCCCAGGAGGGTGGGCACACCAGACTGACAGCAGCCAATGTTTTGACTTGATTTCTAGGAAATGGCAGGTGATGTGTGTGGGTGGCCACGGGCTTGTTGTCTAGTCAGGACCCATCCAGAAAACTTTCCTGGATAGACAAAGGGCTGGGGCCCCTGAGGGCCTGTGGCAGCTCCTGCGAGCGTAGGCGTGTGACCAGGTGTGTGTGGCCAGCGTGTCACTAAGCCACTTCCTCACGGCAGGATACGCTCACTCTTTCTAGCTCCTCAGGCCTCCCAAACCCCCGTGGCTGTGAGCACGGAGAACCCAGGGCTCGCACAGGCGTGGATTGTCACAGGCCTTCACCAGACCACCAGGCACTGTCTTGTCAGAGCGGAGACTGAGGCACTGCATTCCACAGAGCAGGTTCTGGAAGCTTCCCTGGGATCTCTGTGGAGGAGCCGTGGGGCAGGGCTGCCAGGCCTTTCAGTCAGCAATCTGGCTTAGAAACCTGGTTCTCTCCTTGTTTCACTAACAGAGAAAGGGTGCACCTGAGGTCATTTGGGCAAACAGTCAGTGTCATTGCTTCTTGTTGGGCACAGGTGGATGGAGGTGGGTGGGATTCCACCTCCCAGTGCTCTGTTGGTGAGCAGAAGGCTAGAGCAATGATCAGCAAACTGCGGCTCATGAGCCACATGCGGCTCTTTGGCTCTTGAGTGTGCTCTTCCACAAAATACCGCGTGCAGGCAAGCACAAACAGTGTGATTGAAACTTCATGGCCCATGCACAGAAGTTGGTTTTCGGCTCTCGAAAGAAATTTCAATTGTTGTACTGTTGATATTTGGCTCTGTTGACTAATGAGTTTGCCGACCACTGGGCTAGGGAGTAAGAGGACCTCGCAGGCTCAAAGGATATGCTTTTCCTTAGCCATGTGTGTGTGTGTGAAGGGGGTGGGGGAGGGAACAGAGGGAGGAAGACTTGAACCTGAGAGGAGAGCAGTGGCCTGCCCTGGTGGAGGCACAAGGTGTGTTGCCCCCAGGCATACCTGCTTCTCCGAGAGGGATGCCTTTGCTGAGGATGATGAGTGGGGGACACAGATCAGAGGATGCTAAGGGGGGGCAGTCTGCCTCCCCGTGGGCACTGACCATCCCTGACTTTCTACCCACACTCTCTGGAGCTGCCACTGCTATCTTTTGCTTTCTGTGTTTTCTCCACCCATGGGGGCTGCCTCTGTGCCCTCCCTCCCAGGGCTGTGAGGATGGCAGGGTGCCCTCGGCCGTGGATGGCAGCCCCAGCTCCAGGTTCCAGTGTGTAAATGTGAGCATGTGTAAGTGTGTGTGCAGGGCTTTGGCCGGGGGTTATCCAAGGACCAGAGCACAGGCGTAGAAAGCTTTGAGAGGGCAGGGCCGCCTGGAGTCACCCAACACCCTGGAGCCCAGAGGACCTGGCGCTGGGATGCACCACTGGCCACAACACAGCAAACAGCCAGAGCAGGAGGAGCGAGAGCGAAGGAGCGAAGGAGGAGCACGGTAAGTTCCGCTCTGGGGGACTGGGTGTGGGGGTCTCAGTGAGAGGTGGGGAAGCCAGGGCTTCAGAGAGCCAGGGAGAGGGAACCAGGAGCTCTGTGCTCTCTGCACCCCCCTCCCTGCTGCACAATATCCACATCCTGGGCTCTGCAATTGGGGGCAGTGCAGAGGCTAGAGAGCCCACGTGGAACAACAGCAGGAGTGCGGGGAGTGAGGGTGGAGCAAAGCCATGGCCAGAGGAGTCTCCCCAAAGGTGCCCAGCAGGCGGTCCTCCAGGGCCCAAAGGCAGGGGCAGTGAGAGGCCCGAAGCGGGTGGTCATGGGTGGGGGGATAAGACCCTCAGCTGGCCACACTGGGAGAAGGGAGAGAGCAGGCAGTGTTGGATGAGACAGGAGCCCTGCTTTTACTTATGGTGCCCCCAGGGCCATTGTCCAACCTGGCAAAGCTCTGCAACTGAGCACTCCTGGGCCTTAGAAAATGTAGGAGCTGCTGTGGTCTGCCTGCCGGGAGCTCTTCTTGCTTATGTGGCCTCAGGGCCGTCATTCCGGGGAACAGAGCTGGAGCTGCCGGGGTGGGCTGGGGGCAGGGCATGGTGACCAGCCCCACTGACAGCTCTTGCCCTTTTCTCTTCTAGACTCTAAGACCGATTCCTGGTTCCTGGTACACTCGTCCCTCTCTGCCCCCCTCCTCCTCGTCTTCCATTTTCTTCTGATGGTGCAGGCCCTCACACCATTTCCCAGAGGGAGCCTTTGAGGCCAGCAGGATCCGTCGCCGCCTACGACCGAGGCCTGGTGGTTCTCTCAGGGGACCTATTCTATGAGGCAAGCCTGGTGGGCAGAGTTCTAGGTCTCCTTCTTTTTTGGGTGCCCATGGGATAAATAAAACTATGGCCCTGCTCTGCAGAAAGCCTTGATGGGAACACATGCAGGAGCCCTGCTGTCCCCCGGTAGAGAATCCCCGTTACTAACTCCCACTTCCTTTTCTTTCAATGGAGAAGTGCAGGCCAGTGACCAGCAAGATCAGAACTCACCAGCCCCCTCACACCCAAAAGAAACGCCCCACCTCCTATTTTTCCCTGGGCTCCGGTGACCTCTGGACCCTAGCCAGTGCTCCTCCCACACGCCCTGCTCTCCGCACATTGTCCTGGAGCACCTGAGCATGGCGCTTTGGGCCAGGACGTGCAGAACCACCGCTGGGCAAGGTGCACCTGTTCCCCAGGGGCTCGGGCCCAGGAGGGGAGGCAGGTGAAGAAACGGGCCATTCCAAGGCAGTGTGGGCTGCGAGGACGTATGCTCCAGGCCACACAGAAGGGCAACAGGCCAGGCTGCGGCCCAGGATTGCAGTGCTGGTGCCGGGAAAGACTCTCCAGAGAAAGTGCTCATCTCACAGACGTTTTGGAGTGTGTATTTTTTTTTTTTAATGGCGAGGCACTGTTCTCAGCTTGTTATGAGCATCTACTCCCCTAATTCTCACAGCAGCACTGTCAGGAGGTGCCAAGGGGTTAAGCAACTTAGCAGCTGGCTAGGTGCCCTGGGCTCACACTCTTGCCTGCATTCCCTCCTGCCTCCGTGCATGGCTATCCTCTTCTTCCCCTCATCCACTGGACTGCCTTCCTTCCTATAACTCAGCCTCAGTCCACCGTCCACACGGCTGACAGACCCTTCCTCCCAAAAGCCATCAGCCTCTGCCTGTGGGCCCCTGGCAGCTTTCTAGCCAGCGGGGGCTCAGGTGAGCGCCTCTGCTGGGCCTGTGAGGCCTTCCGCAGTCCTGCTGGGCCCAGCTGTCCTTGCCAGCCTTGCCTCCTTCCTCTCCCCCAGCAGTCCTGCTCACCTGCCTCACAGCCCAGCTGCCACGGCCCTGGGCCTTGGCAAATGACTGTTTTCTGCCCCCCCCCCCCCCCCCCCCCCCCGATGCTCTGACAAATCCATACAGACTCAGGCCATGTCGCCTCTCATGAAACTTCCCTGACTCTCAAGTCCAGGTTCTTTCTTTCCTTCTTGGATTTGTTTTCGCCTCTGCTCTTCGAGGTGGACTGGGCTGGGCAGGCTCCACCAACTAGTGAGCACTGACTGCATCTCCCAGCTCCATCTCCCAATTTCAGTAACTTCCCCTCAGTAGCTTGAAATCAGCCGCAGAGGGAGGATTTGTACCACAGGAACTAGCAAACAATACAAATCAGCCCCTCTCCCATCCCTAGAGCCTATTCAGCAACCACCAGCACTCCCCCATCTTATGATTTGCATGTTTGTCTGCCTGCCCTCCAAACTACAAGTGCTTCGAAGGCAGGGTCATGTCTTACTTATATTTTTAAAGATAAGCCAAGCACGTGTGTGGTACCATGTGGTAGGTGCCTTTGAGACGTGCCGTTAGAGTACTTCTCACTTAATTCTGGTGACAAGTTGCTCTGAAAATCTGCTGGTGCCTAGGTCAGCTTGCTCAGAAGTCCTTTGTAGCTCCCTTTGCCTATAGGACTGGAATGTAGAGTCCCTAGAGGTAAGGACTTTTGTCTGTTTTGCTTTATGGAGGTGGCTTGTGCTCAGAATTGCACCTAGCAGAAGTGCTTAGTAACCCTTTGACACATCTTTGTCAAATGAATAAATAAGTGATAAAATTCAAGCTCCTTAAGATAGGCTTCAAGACCCCTTGTTACCAATTCTTCTCTCTCTTCTTCTGTGACTGCCTCTCCCCTAGGAGGAGGCCTGATTACAGCCTCTCTGTTCCTTCGCTGGCCCCTGTGAGTTAGGGAAGGGGGTAGGTGGAAGGGGGAGTGGAGTCCAGGCTCCTGGCAGAAGGCTTCCTCCCCTCTCCTTCCTTTGCCCAAGGCCTCCTCATTCTCTAGTTTCATACCAACTTCTGGAACCTCTGTTTCCTACTGCTCTTCTAGCCCCAACCTTAAAGGGGAGGCATGTTTCCCATACCCTCCATGAGGCAGTGAGCTCCCTCGGCACAGGGCTGATGTGTGTACAGCTCTGTGTCCCCTCCAGTACTTCAGCACCCAGCGTAGAGTCTTGCACATAGCAGGTACCTAGATTTGCCCACATTAAAAGAAAGTTGTAGCCCAGCAAGATGTACGCATGTCCCAATGCCTGATCTGGCTGCTCCATGGAGCTGATCTGATGAGCAGTCACTCACCAATATCAGTGAGGCGGAGGAGGGATGGAGGTCTCACCGCACCGGGAGCATGCTTTATGACCTGGTCTTTTCCTTTCCTCCTCCTCCCAGTTTGTGGCCACCTTGCTCCTGGCTAACTAAAGCTGCTTCCGCCAGCCGTTGGGCTGCACTTGGCCTAAGAGTATAACTGCAAATGGAAATGAACCAACCAGGTCAGTGCAGGCTCAGAAGACCTCAGCTTGAATCTCAGCTCTACCAGTTACATACAATGTGACCATGAGTCACCTATTTACATGATATGGCCTTGATGGTTTTTACCTATAAAGTGGGGATAAAAATACCTTTGTAAAAGGAAATAATTGAAGGCAGATTGAATTAGATAATGTATGAGAGTGTTTAGTCCTGGGGCTGGCACACCCTGAGTACTTAAGTGGTAGATATTTCATTATTTTTAGCTGTTCTCTGTTTGAAATGAAAGTAGAACAAAAGATTTTCTGAAAGAAAAAAAAAAGAAGAAAATTCTAGCTGAGGCTTGACAAGTTACCAGGTAGTGATTTGGAGGTTGAATCAGGGATGCTGAGCAATGAGCTAACGTCTGGTCCATGGATCGGCAGCATCAGCATCACCTGGAGCTTACTGAAATGCAGACTCTCATGTCCCAGTCCCAGCACTCTGAGTAAGAATGCACTTGTCAACAAACAAAATCCCTGGTGATCCTTGTACTCCTCAGATGACACATTTGGAGAGGCCTTATGTTATCACTCCCAATACCATGTCCCTCTTTCCTGTGCTAACAGGTGTCTTCCTGCGGACAGGTGGGCGCTGTGAGAGCAGGGAGCACAGAGGAACAGTGAGGATTGGGGCTGAAGCCAGGAGGAAGCTGTGCCCCCAGCTGAATAGAGGTCTGGCTGCACTTCCCACTTCTAACCAGCAGATGGCAAGCGTGTTTCTTCTCAAAGGCCTTTGAATTGCTTGACATGGTAAGTGCCTGGTCCTTTAGGCGCTTGTGCTGAGTTATCTCAGTCGCTGGGTCTGGGATGGTGTACATGGAGCACCCTGGGTGGATGCTGGAGGAAAGTGTTGGATGGTCTCAGGGTTTGCTCAGGTGAATGTCCTGAGGCTGAAATCAGAGAAAACTGTGGTCCCTCTGCTCCCTGGCAAAGGAAGGGCCATCACACCACCACAGGCTCCCATGGGGCCCACTTTTCATTCATGCACCTGCAGAAGCAGGCATTTGCCCCCATTAGCAACTGGGCCCCAGATTAAATGAAAATAATTTTTTAAATTGGCATTATGTGGCAAGGATCATCAAACAGCAAAAGCTGTCCTTAAGTGTTAAAGAGAAGAAACTCTGCTTGTGAATCCAGAAGGCTCACAGGATTGAGTGGTGTGGGGCGAGGCTCTGAGTAGTGAGGAAAGGAAGAGGGCTCTTATCAACCTCTCACCAAAATGGAGTCTGAGCAGAGAAACTGGGAATTTGTCTTATAACTGCCTGGGTATTCAACACCTCGTTCCCTAGTCATCCAGTCTCCCTAGTGTCTGGGATGTGGGATGGGATATTGGAAAGATCCCAGTCTCTCAAGACAGACTGTATTCAAATCCCAGCTTGGACAACTATTAGTTGTGTAACTTTGGGCAAGCTACTTAATCACTCTCTGCCTCAGTTTTCTTATCTGTAAAATGGAGGTAAGTAGAAATAATATAGTAATATTATAAGTGCTTTTTATGATTTTTATCCACACAAAGTACCTTGCACATAGTAGCTGCTGTGCAGGTGTTTGGCTGGTGTTTCTTGCCTTGATTCTTAGTCTCCCATTGGCAGAACCTTGGTAGTTGAGGCCCCCGAGAAGGATCAGGAGAGAAAAGGCTCCCACAGTTGACACCATATTTTCTTCCTTTCCAGGTCTTCTTTTCCAAAAGAAGCCAGAACAGATCACCATCCTGCATCTCTACCACCACTGCATCATGCTAATCAACTGGGGTCTGGAGTCAAATACGTGCTAGGTGGTCAAAACACGTGATGCAGTTGAGGCAGCCCTGCCCAGGCCCTCGTGAGGCAGCCTCTCTCTGCTGGGCTGAGTCCCCCATGTGGGAGGTATGCATCCTCCAAGGTCTCACTTTCCTGTGGCCATGAGCCCAGGCCTCTGCTCTCCTTTTATCCCTGTTTCTTCCCAAGCCTCCTGGCTACCCCTTCCTGGTGCAGAGGAGGAGGCTGTGGGAGGTGCTCAAAGCCATCAGGGAGTGCAGAGGGGTTACAGGCACTCTCATGTAGCATCCATTAGCGCCCCCGGGGTCATGACCTCAGACCACTCATGCCAGAGCTCAGGATAGACCTCCCCAAGGATTTCCTCTGCGGGACATGCAGAGGTGCTCTCTGCAGGGTGGAGGTCTGAAATATGAAAGAGAAAGCACAGCTATGCTCAGCTCCTCTGACTCCATTTGATCTCCTCACCCAACTCTGGGGCCTCCTCTTGTCAAGAAGCTGACTTCATTGGTCTATGCCTGCATGTGCCTGTACTATGGCCGGGCAGGCCCAGCATGCAGCTCTACCTGCGGTGGAAGTGATGTCTTACCATCCTACAGCTGCAGAGAAGACCCCTTTGGCTGCAGGGCCTTTGGCTGAGCCCTGGTCCTACTCTTGGCTGCACCAGTAACTTGGTGCCAGACCATGAACGAGCCCTTCTCATTACTGGGTCTTAGTCTCCCAATTTGCAAGGGACTCAGAAGACATCTCATCAGATTCTAGAATCAACCCTAACTCCCTGACAGAATGTGGAACCTGGAGCAAACGCTTTCCATGCTCGAGACCTTAGTCTCATCATCCACAAAAGTAGGGGCTGAGCTAGATGGCCTTGGAGCACTTCTCCCCTGTGAGCCTGTGAGCACCAATCCACCGTCCAGGTGCCTAGGTGCCTTGTGGTTTGGGGACCATCATAGCTAGGTGGTACTGACAACTGAGATGTCCTTCAGGGGCCTGGGATGGATTGAGACGTCATCGATGTCAACATAACATGGCTGGATTAGGGCAAGGGGGCCAGAACCAGGAGGATCTTGGCTTAGGGGGAAATGGGAGCAGGCTTCATCAAACTTACTTTCTGAAGACTGAACTGTAGGAGGCCTGCTCCCTGCTGGTAGACAGAGGAGTGGCGACTGCTTCTCACCTCTCTCCCATCTCTGACTTTATGCTTTCTCTTCCCCAGGGTCGGTTTGTGGCCATAGCTGCCCGCTCCTCCTACCTCTTCACTGAGTGCTCCTTCCAGGATGGATGCAGCATGGCCGTGCTCCTGTTCCTCCTCAGCCTCTCCACCCGCTTCCTCAACATCTACCACCAGACATATCTGAGGAGAAGCTGACTTAAATGGCAGGATCCAAGGACTGAAACGCGCAGAGCCATCCTCACAGAGACCGTGTGGCTCACCTCACCTGCGCTGAGCAGGTACCTGAGCCTGTACTGAGTCCTTGGATAGGAGGAGAATGCACTCCCCCCCCCTTCCAGAGTTCAGGAGGACAAAATCGGAATCGGCTTCTGAAATCACTGCTGCAGCAACACCCACACAGATCCGTGACTGTGTGCATCTCCATCCACTACCAGATGTGAGCCTCTCCCGAGCGGGACTTATTCCCCGTGTCCCACACCTGGCACAGTGCCACTTGCTGTCAGTGTGATTTGGAGTCTTGTATTCCACAGTTATGACCTCTGGTGAAGGTTGGGCTGAGGGCCTGGGAGAAGTCCAGGCTGGCTGGATATGTAACCTCGCCAGGGGAAACAATGACAGAGTCTCCACGAGTGAGAGTGGATCTGTGCGACTCCTAGTGTGGCTGTGGAAATGCCCCCCCAACCTGTTCATGCATTTATATGGTTGTACAAGTCTGTGAATGTGAGTGGGGTGGTGGAGAGGGCTGTGTGTATAGGTCTACAGACTTGTTTTCTAGTCTGCATGCACATTTCCATTTGAGTCTCTTCTGTACGTCTCTGAGAGTGCCACTGTGCAAATAAAAGCCAACAGGATAGCACTGCTTCTGTCCCAGACTGGAGACACTGATGCCCCAGAGGGATCTCTGCAAACATGGTTCTGGGGGGCCTCCACAAGGTGTGAGAAAGGAGACACGGGATAGGACAAAGGCAGCCATTCACTTCACACACAGGGAAACTGAGGACCAGCAAAAGGAACTGTATGACCAGATCACGTCCCTAGGCAGAAGCAAACATCTGCAAAGCCATTAGAGCCAGGACTAGATAGTATCTGCAAAGCAGCTGCCTGGGGTGGTCTCCATGCCTCCAGTGTTCTTATTCGTCTTTACTAGAGGCCCAGTGCACAAAATTCATGCACTAGGGGAGAGGGGGTGTCCCTCAGCCAAGCCTGCACCTTCTCCAATCTGGGACCCCTCTGAGGATGTTTAAACCAGCAGTCAGATATCTCTCTCACAATCCGGGACTGCTGGCTCCTAACCACTCACCTGCCTGGCTGCCTGATTGCCCCTAACCACTCTACCTGCCAGCCTGATAGCCCCCTAACTGCTCTATTGACAGTCTGATTGACACCTAACTGCTCCCCTGCAGCATGTTGACATTTAACCTCTCCCCTGCTGGCCCGATCACCCCTAACTGCCCTCCCCTGCAGGCTTGGTCAGCCACAATTACCTTCCCCTGCTAGCCATCTTGTGACAATCTGGGGGAAGTGGCCATCTTGTGATGTAAGGGTCATTTTGCATATTACCTCTTTATTAAATAGGATAATCTCTCCCAGTTGCTGTTTCCTCCCCTCTGTAAGTTCTTATTTTGTGATGCCTCAACAGTCAAGATAATTACAGAACAGGTGAAGTTTATGAAGTGCTATTTGGGGACTATTTATCCATCAGGTGCCTTAGTTAATTAACTCCGGCAGGCAGGCTGCATCCTGTGGGCAATCCTCTGAGAATTTAGGGAGAATGTGAACGCATTCCCACACACTTCTGTGTACTCCACCACTGCCTTCAGAGGGTGGGGGCAGACTTTTTTCTAAACACACAGGAGTGAAGTCTGTTCATTTTCTGAGCAGCCAAAATAAAGGAAAAGGGTGTCATTCCAGAGTTCAGAGTTGATATTGGTCCAGTTCTTTGGCTGTCTCTCCGATTCGGCAGTGGGAGCACCTGGGGGAAGGCAGTGTGGGAGGGGACTTGGGGGAAATTCTCAATGAGCAGAAGGTGCGTCTCCTTTCCACAACTGCCCTGCACCGTGTTGTAAGACCTCCCTCTGCCTGGTTCGGAAGTGCTGTGCAGGTATTGTTTCCTATGAGTGTAGAAAGACTTTGTGAGTGTTAGGAACACAAAGTTACTCATACTTCTCAAAACACAGCCAAATTCCTAATATTGTGGAAGTCGACATCTATGAACTTTTTAAGATAATGATAAGCAAGAGTGATGGTTAGAAAGGGTCCATTTGCCAAGACAGAGAGGCCCAGAGGACTCCGTGAGAAGACCCTATAGACAGAAGTGAGGGAGCAGCCGAAAGCGGTTTGGCTCAGCGGATAGAGCCAAAAGGTCCCAGGTTCGATTCCGGTCAAGGGCATGTACCTTGGTTGTTGTGGGCACATTCCCAGTAGGGGGTGTGCAGGAGGCAGCTGGTCGATGTCTCTCTCTCATCGATGTTTCTAACTCTATCCCTCTACATTCCTCTCTGTAAAAAATCAATAAAAATAATTTAAAAAAAAAAAAGTAAGGGAGCAGCCCCGTCACCTCCATCTCCCATGAGGGTCTAAGAGCTGAAGGTCTGGGTTCCTGGCAATTGCCTCTTAAATCAGAGTATATATAATTAAAAAATAAAAGGCATCCAAAATGGAACAGCTCCAGCTCCCCAGTCCTCTTATAGCTCCGAATTCAGTGAAGACCCCTTCTTGCCCCATATACACTCCGCTGTCCACCCGGCTGGCCACACCCCGGGCTGCAGGAGCAGGTGCCTGAGCCAGAAATCCGAAGAAAATGCCACATCCCTTCCCTCTCCCTTCCTCTCGCTCTTGCAGGACTGTGTAAATGGAGGAACTCCTCCAAAAAAGACAGCCTCTGCCTTCTGACCTTTGTCCCTGGGCAGTCTCCCGGCAAGATGTCGATTGCATAAGAGGACTTTAATTCAGGTTTTTGACATTCAAACCCTCCCAATCCCTATCTAGATCTCAGGGATATGTGAGCTACAGGAAGCGGCAGAGGCTGTCTCTGCTGGGATGAGGTAATCTACTACCAAGAAGACAAAACGGGGACGGCAAGGGTCTGCATTTCAGTGCACGAGAGGACACTAAAACGAGGAAAGATTGGTTTAAAGCAGCCCGCACTGAGCATCAGGAAGGTGGAGCTCATGCTGGCCGCACTCACAGGGAGGCAGCCCTGGATTCTCAGAAGAGGCAGAGCCCGTCTGTGCCCTCCTGCTGCAGGAGGACGCGGGCAGTTCTCCACGTCTTCTAGTGTCTTTTTCATGTATTGGAGCTTCCAGCTCTAAGAAATGCACTCTGGTAACATATCGTCATTACAAACTCTTCTTAAAACACAATTTAGCAATGCACTATTACATATCAGAGAATCCCAATTCTGCTGAGCTACATATAAAATATAAACACAAAAATGTGAAGAATAATCATCTCTAGATGGTGAGATTGTAGATGCTTTTCAAATCTTTGTATTTTCTTATTTTCTGGAATGCCTATTCTTTTTTAGTCAAAAAAATGTATTATTATAATGTGATGTATAAACACAAAATGTGAATAATCATCTCTAGATAGTGAGATTGTTGATGCTTTTCAAATCTTTGTATTTTCTTATTTTCTGCAATGCCTATTCTTTTTTAGTCATAAAAATGTATTATTATAATGTGATGGATTCTAGATATCTTGACTGTTCTTCTGAGAATTATTAAAGTCTGTATTTGATCTGCTCATCAAGTGGTCATTACTGATACAGTTGGTACATTTCACCCCCCTGTCGACCCCTCAGTCATTCAACACACAGGCATTGAGGGCACTCTGCCTTCTAGGCACTGAGCTCGCTATTAGGGATATGACACAAACCAGGCTTGTCTTGCACTCTGATGGCCATGTAAATACTTAAGAAGCCAAACTGCAGCCACTTCCACTAGTTCAGGGAGTTAGGACAAGCCAGTCTTGTCCCAGGGCATCAGTGAAAGAGGATTTTGATCAAATACTTACCCACAGTGGCAGATGTGAAAATGAGACTGCCCACAGCTGTCTGAATCCAATCTCCCTGTGACTCGTTTTTTGTGGCGAGCCAGCATGGCCATGGCATACTCAGCCCCAGGGTGCCTTATGTGTCACACTATCTCAGCCAGGTTCATTGACCCTGAGGGGGAGCAGTGAAGGATTGAGAAAAAACAGACAAGACTAAAAGTTGGGTCTGGGTGGGATGCTGCTCCTGGATGGAGAGATAGCACCACGGACTACAAGCTATAGCAGATGCCATGAGGCAAAGTAAGGGCATAGTCAAGATGTTTACAACATTCTCATAGGTTTTGATCCTACTCAATTACATGCACCTGATCAAGCTTTGTTTACTCGCAGCCTATATCACTTAGGCACATGGGGCCACATGTTCAGACCACAAGTTCAAGCCCACAACCATAGCTGTTGGCTATAATTGTGCTGGGAGGACTCTGCCCTCCAAGCTGGGACTTACACATGGCAATGAGAGAACTGTGCTCTCTCATTAGTCCAAAGCTTGAACCTATCCAAATATAGCTGCTCTCCACATATCCTTATTTTTTTGTTTTTAAACACTTATATTAATATCATTAAAAGCTCTAAGCAAATTATTCAGCATTACCAAAACATAACTTCTGGTTATTTAACAAAACAAATACAGTAATATTAATGTAATACAGCAATAAGAGAAAAACCAAACTATAGACATGTTACTATTTCTTCAAAATAAAAGTTCCTCCTGCTGCTGATGTATATCTTACTCAGACTCCTCAGATTTGGCTTTGCAAGACTTTAAGAGAGTAACTTCCACTTTGCTTTTTTACCATCTGTTTGCCCTCAGTCATCTTCTTCTTCAGCTGACTCCATGTTGATACCTCGGCCCTTTGCATAGTAAAATGCCGCCAATGCAAAGAAGTCATTGATGCTAGGCTGGTCCCCTGGATCAGGCTGCTTGGATGGTTGGCTTTGGGACTGAGCCTACACTAGTCCCAGTCAAATCAGCCCCGTCTGTGTTGGTGGAAGTCCAGTCCATTCCTCAGCTTCCTTCTTCAGCTGCTGCTGCATGGAAATGAGCAGCCCTCGGTCCTGCAGTGCCCCAAACTGGCAGCTCACCAGATCCAAAGTCCCAGGGAGCCATCAGGTCACACAAACAAAAATAACCAAAGCCCAGAACAATGCAACTTCCACAAGAGCTTCCAATCTAGGTCAGAAATAAAAGTTACTTTCTCAAACAACATCAACCACAGCCATTTTTTGCTGTACAGTAGCTTAACAAAACCTAAGATATTTCTACCTTTTTTCTACCTCCTATTTTCTCTCTCCTATTTTCTATCTCCTATTATCTTCTATCTTATAACTTCCATCCTATTTTCTATCTTATCTATCTTTAGCTTACTTTTCTACCTATTTCTACCTCCTATTCCTACCGCTTATTTCCTACTGCTTACTTCTATTGCTTTATTTCTACCTTATTTCTTATCTACAATATTTTCTACTTATTTTCTCCTTAAGAAATTTAAAAATGTTTTACTAAGTGTTGTTCCATGTTTTACACCCAGTAATTAACCTCGCTCCCTACCTTACTTTTGCTTTCAGCTTTTCTACTTTTACTTTCAGCACGCGCCTCAAAGGAGCCTCCTTTCACCTGACCACTGCAGTTCCCCCAACTCAGGGCCCTGTTTGGACACCAATTCCTTGCTTTGAAGTGAGCTCCCCACACATCAGAAGAGTGGCATCTAAGTGTAATTCAAGTCTAGAACCCCTTCTTAGAAACCAACACAATGGTGTACAGCTAGAAGAACTAACTTTTGCCCAGACCGTGGATCATCCTGGGCTCCTAGGAAAGGTTCCTTGGAGGGAACATCTAAAGGGGAGACTTGATAACAGTCTTCACTTCTACAACAGTCCATAGATAGTTATGAATGGTGGTGATCATTGAACTACATCTCTGTCAGGTTCCACATATCTAAAAACTTTTACTTGAGAAGTGATGGAAATGCCTTCCAGAAACAAAAAGGGCTTTTCCCTGCCCTGGTCGGTGTGGCTCCGTTGGTTGAACATCAACCCATGCACCAAATGGTTTGATTCCCATTTAGGGCACATGCCCAGGTATCAGGCTCAACCTGGGAAGGGGGCGTGCAGGAGGCAGCCAATGACTGTTTTGCTCTCATATCAGTCTCTCTCTCTCTCTCTCTCTCTCTCTCTCTCTCTCTCTCTCTCTCTCTCTCTCTCTCTCTCCCCTTCCTCTCTAAAAAAAAAATTAATGAAAATATTAAAATTTAAAAAAAGAGTGAGGGGCTTTTCCTGAATCAATATACTGACAAAGTTAGCATTGGGACCTCAGATTCCTGATGCTCTGCTGGGGACTCTGTGTCCTTTAGGACTAGGTCCTAAAGGAATGCATTTTCATAAGTAGGGCGGTTTTGGTATCCCAAATCCTGAATTTCCAGCTCATCCCACTGGAAAACATGGTGTGAAGCTTCTACATGCACCAGCCCGCGTTGTCTTCCTTCTCCCCTTCTCTCACACGTAGAGATCTGTGGTACTTCGATTTGCCTTTAGCTCACTGGTTACAAATATCAAGAAAGGATCCATATGAAACAGAGAAAAAATGTTAAAAACAGCCTACTTTTTAGAAGAAAGAAAAATGGTACCTATCAGTCTTCAGATTCTCCAGGAGCAAAAAAGGGAAAGCCAGGTGTGACTATAGGAGCATCAACATCAAATCTAAAGAGAACAGCCCCACAGAGACTGTCTAACCAGCCCCCACACTGTGGGATCCAGTCCTGGTGTCCAGTTACTCATCACATATACATCCTAGCACCTCTGCCTCAGGTAGCAGTGTCTTAGCTCCAGTGGAGACACACACTTTCTACCAGTTCTCTCTCTCTCTCTCTCTCTCTCTCTCTCTCTCTCTCTCTCTCTCTCTCTCTCTCTCTCACACACACACACACACACACACATACACACACACACAATCATGGTTGCACTTTAATTAAACACCTAAATGTGTGAGAGCTGTACCTCAGTATACACTTTTTTATACATTTATTTATAACAAAAATTAAGTTTTTAACATTTGAGTTTGTGAACTTTGTAGCTTATGAAAATGTGCGTTCAATGTAAGGAGCTCATCTAGCATTTCAATAAACTGCTATGGCAGCCTCTTTACCCGTCAGGAGGGCCAGGCTGAGCTGTTTCAGGAACACCCTTTCCTTTATGTTTCAGGTCATAGTGAGGAGAAGAGATGTTTTTGCGTGCAATTTGAGGGGCAGAAGTGAAGCAGCAGCTGCATTATTTTTTACTCTCAGAATGTTGGGGCATGAACTTTTGTAGCTCACACGTTATTATTCATCTGCCGAGTCCTCGATGTGGGCAGCAGGTGGGCCTACAACTGCCCCCCTCCCCTGGCCTTCACTTCTCCGATTCCTGGGCCAGGTGTATGTTCAGCACCAGGACGGAGGGCACCACCTTCTCCTGTAGGACCAGCTGGAGGCGCTGAGAACTGACATGGGTTCCGGTCTGTCTGCAGGGTTGCAGCTGATTCTCCATCCTCCCTTCCTAGCTACCTGGGGACCCAAGCTCCAACATCAGACAGGATGACAGCAGCCTTGTAGTTTCACAGCTCCCACAGCTGTGTAGGAGTCCTGGAGATTAGACACTGAATGGACAAATGGACCTGCGGCTTCCCCACACCTGCAGCCTCCCTTCAGGACACCCCGAAGGCCTCCCTTTTTCTCCTGTCAGGTTTTCCAACCTCCATGTGCTTTTCAGTCTCCCAAAATACAAGTGACAGTGGCTTCCTCCTCTGAATAAATAGCCTCTGTCTGCTCCCACTGGCTGGGCTTCCTTATTGCCACATGGAGGAGCCCTGCGCTAGCACAGTGCAGCAGCCTATGGTGCTGTGTGGCCGGTCCACACTGGGAGGAACTGAGACAGCTCCTGGAGTTTCCCATGGCTTTACACCAGCCCAGGAATTTCAGAAAAAACAATGAATAATTTTTAACATAAATATGACTCATGCACTATTTGGGGTGCCTTCACACACAAAAAAAAAATATTGTTTATCTGAAATTCAAATACAGGGATGGGCAAAAGTGGGTTTGCAGTTGTGAGTACATGAAACACAGTTTATTTTTATATTATTATTTATTAACTAGAGGCCCGATGTACAAAAATTTGTGTACTTCAGGGTGGGAAGGGGTGTCCCTCAGGCTGGCCTGCTCCCTTGTCCAGTCTGGGAGCCCTTGTGGGATGTTCTTCTGACAACTTACTGATATCCCACTGATGTCCTTTGGGTGGTGCCAGGTAGATCAGGGGAAGGCACCACCCCCATCACCCCGTTGCTGCCTCTGCTGACCACCATGGCTGCCGGCTCTCCTCAGCCCTCGCAGTCACTGTGGCTTTTTCCGGAAGGACATCTGTCTGGTCTTTCTGGTCTAATTAGCAAATTACCTGCTTATTAGTATAGATTATTGCATTATTTTCCATACAAATAACTGTAAACCTACTTTTGCCCACCCCTTTATAATTGGGTGTCCTATCTTTTTATTTGCTAAATCTGTTAATCCTATAAGTGGAACAGCTAAAAGTTTCCAGGCCCCCCACCCCCACAAGTGGAACAGAAAGTTAAGAAAGAAAAGGAGTGAAAGCCCTGATGGGGCCACAAGGTATTTCAGAGCTCGGAGGAGGGGAAACACATCAGAGGTGATATGGGTCACTTCCCAGGCATAGATGAGGGTGCAGCCACGTCTCCACAGATGCTCAGGGTAGAGGGCACATGCCCAAGAACAAGGAAAGGACTGTTTGGGTGCAGAACTATGAGAGCAAGATGCAGCTGGGTCTGGAAGTGGGTGCCTGCTTCTCATGAATGCTGCAGCTACTTTTGTGTAAACACCGTACTCTCCCTCACCCCAAGCTTGACACCAACCCCAGAAAGAAGGAAAGAGGATGGGAGGAATTTCCTGAATATGACTGATATGAACCTAAAATGACCTTTTTAAAGGAACTTTCAGGGGAGCATGTCCACATTGCTAGATTTGACTGATTTAACCTTGGAATTACTAGATTGATTTTAGAATGGAGCAGGTATCAGAGAATTTTAGGAAATCAATATTTTGCACATATAAATTCGTTGAGGCTTTCAAAAACTAATACTCACCACAAATATGATCTGGTCATGTTAAGCACCAGCTAGACATGACACCTTTTGAAAAATAAAATCTTCACATCCCATCCCCTGACCTCCATTCCTCACTCTGGCATTTTTCCTGGGAAGCCATTCTCTCCAGAGAGACATGCTGAACCTCACTTTATTTGGTCTGGATTATGGAAAAAAGTAGTTTTATTTTTCATTTTTCAGATATTATTCTATTGATTGTACTTTTTAACCTTCATATTCACCTCCCACCCCTTTAAATATCAACAGCTTCCTAGACACTCCACACTTAGAATTGATGACTTAAAGGCTACTTCATTTACCTGATTGTACTTACATTTCAAATTTATGGTGATAATGATGATAGTGATAGTGATGATGATGATGATGATGATGATGATGGTGGTGGTGATGATAATGATGGCCATGATGACATTAGAGCCACTGACTGAGGAACTGTTGGATACTACTTTACATATATCACTGATAACCCTCACCCTCATTTTATAAATGAGAGAAGTGAGGCTTAGAGAGGTTCAGTGACTTGATCAAGGTACACACAGAGTAAGTTTTGGAGTAGGATTTAAATCCAGAATTGTCTTATTCCAAAGCCTTTGATTTTCCCACAGTGACTCACTGCCCAGCCACCACAGTTCCCTAATTGGCAGGAAATTCCTGATTCCTTTGGTTGGCTCTACCTATAGTCATCAAAAGATGAATGTGTTTGGTCCCCTTCCTGGCATTGACTGCATCTGATTGGGAATGCTGGGCTGGGCATATTTAAAATTTCATTTATTTCCCTGGCCAGTTTGGCTCAGTGGATAGAGCATCAACCTATGGACCAAAGGAACCCAGATTTAATTCTGGTCAAGTGCATGTACCTTGGTTGCAGACTCTCCCAGCCCAGGCTCTGGTCAGAGTGCAGGCAGGAGGCAACCAATTGATGTGTTTCTCTCATATTGGTGTTTTTCTCTGTCTTTCTCTCTTTCTTCAATTTTCCCTAAAAATCAATGAAAAAATATCCTCAGTAAGGATTAACAAAACAATTAAATTAAATTAAATTAAATTAAATTAAATTAAATTAACACTTATAGAATGCTTTCTATGTGCCAGACACTGGTCTAGGCAGTTTACAAATAAAACTCATTAATCATTATAGTTCCATGAGGTTAAGC